GCCGGGCCGGGCCGGGCGGACCCCGCCCGCTCCCCCCTGCTCCTCTCCCGGCCCCCCCAATGCCGCTGGCCTGGCCCCCGCCCGCCCCCTGAGCTCCCCCGCTTCCCCTTCCCCCTCCCCGCACACCGCCTGCCGCGGCTTCCCCCTATCGCGATAGTCGCCGGCGGCGCGGGGGGGGGGCCGCCATGTCGAGCAGCGCTCGCAGCCCTTTGCCGACCGTCAACGAGAGGGACGCGGAACAGGTGAGGGAGGGACAGCGGGGATCGGCTGCGGGCGAAGGGGGCCCGGCCCCGGCGTGAGGGGAAAGAGGCGCCTGGGGGGGTAAAAGGGGAATTTTGTGAGGGAAAAAGGGGAGTTTAGGGACTGCTTGTGAGGGGGAACGGGAGACTGAGGGTGCCCGGCGGCTTTTTGTGAGGGGAAAAGATGGATYTGAGAGAGAAAAAAGGGGTTTGAGGGGTTCCTGAGCCGGTTTGTGAGGGGAAAAGGGMGAGTTCGGGGTCGGCTTGTGAGGGGAAAGAGGAAAAAAGGGGCTCTGAAGGGCTCGTGGGCAGAGTTGTGAGGGCAAAAAGGGGATCTGAGAGGGTAAAAAGCCGGATTGTGGGGATTCTAGTCCCGTCCGTGTGAAAAAAAAGAGGGACTGAGGCGGTCTGAGGTATTTATGTGAGAGAAAAAGGGACTCGGGTCGGTTTGTGAGAGGAAAATGGGTTTTGGAGAAGCCCGAGTAATTTTGTGAGGTGAAAAAGGTGTTTTGAGAAGGACCTGGACTGGTTTGTGAGGGCGGAAAACGGGGGCTGAGGGTTCTGGGGTTGTTTTATGAAAGGAAAACAGGAGGGTTTGAGGCGRTCCTTTTCTGTTTTGTGACGGGAAAGGGGGTCCTGGGCCATTCTGCGAGGAGCAAAAAGGGTCTGGGGTCGSTTTGTGAGGGGAAAGTGAGGCCTGAAAGGGGTTTGAGTAATTTTGTGAAGTAAAAACGGTGTCTGAGGGGAACCTGGGTTGGTTTGTGAGGGAAGAGCAGGGTCTGAGAGAGGAAAAAAAAAGGGGTCCGAAGGGGTCTTGGGACATTTTGTGGAAGGGAAAAGGGAATTCTAAACCGTTTTTTGTGGAGAAAGGCAGGATCTGAGGGGGTCCTGGAACTCTCTGTGAAAGGAAAAGAGGGACTGAAGGGGTCTGGGATTTTTTTGTGAAGGCAAATGGAATGGTCTGAGGAGGTTTTGTGTTGTTTTATGAGGGGAGGGGGCTCTGAGGCGCTTCGGGGCCGCTCTGTGAGGGGAAAAAGAGGGGACTAAGAGCCCCCCCAGTGAGGTGGTCCTGGGGGGCCCCAATTTTGCTCTCCCCCCTCCATGAAGGACCCTGGAGCCCCTCAAGGCCCAGCCCCTGCTGTGGGGTGGGGGTCCTGAGCCCCTCTTTGGGGGGTGTAGGGACAGCACTGTGGGGTTTTTCTGGGATGAGGAAACCCCAGGGGTTTGGGGTCCCATTTCGGGGGTCCCAGAGCAGCACTGAGGGGGGGTGGGGTTGTGTGTGTGACCCCAAAGTCGGGGTGAGGGGGCCAAGTTTTGCACCCCAAAGGATGGGGGGTGCCAGACCCCCACAGTGCCCCCCTTGGGGTTGTGGATTTGCAGGGTTTGGGGTGAGATTTGGGGTGTCATTGTCACCCCCTCTCAGCTCGGTGGCTGCACGATCGGGTTGTGGGGGCGTCAGCCCACCCCTTCCCCACCCCCTTCCCTTCCCCCCTAAACTGGGGGGGGGTTGTGGGGGCGGCGGCAGCGCTGCCTCGAGCTCGGTGCCCTGCCGGGGGTTTGGGGGGGCTCTGAGGGGTGAACCCCCCCAAATTAAACCCGTGCCGACCCCTGTGAGTGGGGAACAACCCTCCCCACCCGGGTGGGGGGAATGGGGGTTCATCCCTGTG